GCCATGGCATTCTACCAAGGGTGACAAAGTGAGACTCTTGTCTCAAAAAAAAAAAAAAAACATTGTTGTGGCTGTTGCCTGTAATCCTAGCACTCTGGGAGGCTGAGGGCAGTGGATCGCTTGAGGTCAAGAGTTCGAGACTATCCTGAGGAAAAGTAAGAATTTTTCTAAAAATAGAAAAATTAGCTGGGCATCATGGTGCACACCTGTAGTCCCAGCTACTTAGGAGACTGAGGCCAGAGGATGGCTTGAGCTCAAGAGATGGAGGTTGCTATGAGCTATGACAACACTGTAGCACTCTACAGGGTGACACAATGAGACACTGTCTCAAACAAAAAAAGAAAAAAACAGTTTGCTATGCTTTTCTTGTTAACCTGTCTTTTGTTATAGCAGTGTCAGCTATGACCCTTACGATAGGGAGGAAAGGCATCACACTTCAGTAAAATCTGGGATTCAGAGACAGCCTCCGTGGTAGGGCACTCCAGTATCACAGGCGTCAGATCAGATGGCTTCTCAAATAAGCTGTAACTGATTTCTTGGAGACTGCCTGACGAAGAGGGAAAGGAATGGGTTTGGGTATCACACTGACTTCTGTTCACTCTGGTTCTGTTTCTTTCTAGATGTGCAGTTTGGGGCAAGTTATTAGGTTTCAGGGTTTCTTCTTCTGTAAAACAAGAATGACAAAATTCCACAGGGTAGCTCTAGGCTTAAATGAAACAAATGGAAACGTGTGTTTGGCATTTGGTACCTGTGCACTAGTTTCTATCTTCTGTATGGAAAGGACTTTGAAGGAAGAGACACAAATCACAGTAGAAAAACTACTGAATCAAAACATTTCTCTCAGTCTTCCTGGTGAAGCTCTGGAGAAAGAAGTAGATCACCTCTGCTGCGTTCCCGTAGTACTTCCAAGTGGCTCCCACAGTCTAAGCTCGGCTGGTGAGATACGGGTCCATTACTTGAATTGTTTGCCATAGAAAAAATTCCCATTTACAGTAACATACAGATGAATTTGACAATATCTGTATCTGACTTCCTGATCCGGACACATACCAGCCCAGCCCTCTTATCCTCCCCGCAGTCGCTACCTCTGATCTACATTCCTTGGGGACGAGGGCACCCCGGCACATCCTGTTATAAATACTTTTCTGTTTTCCCATAGCATGCTGGTATGATGTCTGGGAACTCGGGCCACAGCCTGAGCTTAGGTGCAAAGGTTGACGATTAGACTTAGCCAGGGTGGAGAAACAGCTCTTTTTCTGCTAGATCCCCCCAGCCCAGGGGATAAATTTTGCTTTGAAAGGCAAGCCCTGCAATCGTGACTTCACAGTATACACCAGAATCAGGCAGACTCGTCTCTGCCCTCTTCCTCTAGTCCCACTGCGGTCCAGAGACACGGAATTACTTTTGGTTCCAGAACAAGCCCCGAGTTGCTGCTCTGCCTGCCCTTCACCAGGCTGAACCCTACCAGCTCGAAGCCTTAGCTTACAGGAGGCTCCCCACTTAGTTAACTCTCCACGTGCTCTGAGCTCGGTACTTGTCG